ACATGAGAGAATTCGGGAAAAAAAATCGGCCTATTGATCTATTTTAGAATCACGATGTGAAGAAACGTGTGAAACAACAATTGGTAGTGGAGAAATTGGTGAAGGACCAATTTTGAGATCTAGCAAGTCATCATCTTCAGATAGAATTGAGACTAGGACCAAGCTAGGATTGTAGAGTTGTGGGAGCAAATTCCACAAAATTTTAACTCTGGGGGGCCAAATTGAAAACTATAAGGATTTTTTTTTTTTTTTTTTTAAATCTTGGATTTGAAATTTAGTGTGAGTGCAACTGGCCCTACTATTACCACCACTGTAAATCCGCCATTACAAGAGGAGGCGATAAGTTTTGGTTTCAGCATTATTGAGTTACTTTTAGGTCATTTCGATTAGTTCAACGGCCTCTTGTCTTTTATGATATTGCGCTTGTTCGATTGAAGTCGATCTTTACTTCTTCTGTTGGAGTTTTTCCGGTAGAGATTTTGAAGTTGGTCGAGAAGATAGGAGTTGTGCTTATGGACTCTTTCTCAGCAATTGTCATCCACCTTAAAGCTCTGATCGAGTGGTGGTTGTCGAAAAAAAATGATTGTTCCATTTTTTTCTAATTTCAGGTTACATTTATCAATACCCGAATTTCAAATCTCAAATCCATCGAGAATTTCAATGTTGCCACCCCATTTGATATTCCCCGCAAAATGTAAATAACCTCTTAGTATACTCTTACTCCAGTAACAATTCCTCTGTTTCCTCACAAGCAAGCCCAAAGAAGATAAATGAGACAATGAAAGGAATCCAAGTGAGCACATCAATTTTCAATCCAGCCTTAAGATAGTAAAAGAATGGGAAAAACAAAAGCCCAATAAACAGAGGAAGTCCAATAGAAAATCCCATTCTACTCATCATTCTGTTTGTAATTGTTTCACGCGGATAGTCGTTAATAATTAAAAGGAAATTCAGACGATTGTGTAAGGGACAAACCTCTTGAGACAAAAACTCAAAAATGGGTGCTTTATTGATGATAGTTACAATTGGAACTAAACAGAATGCCTATAGGGGGTGCAAGCACACGAGTACTGAAAGAAGCATAATTAAAGTTAATTTAAGAAATTGAAATTACATATTCTCTATTTGAGAGTGTTTGATTCGGGGTCCTTTTCTCTATGTCTATCCTTTCCTTTTATATTCCTATGATAATTTTTGCGTGATAAACTGCTTCAAACTGCTACCCATTTTCTTCATGGTGCCTAAGTTGTCGTGAAATTGTCATCTTTAACTGCTGTCATTACTATTTGTTGTTCAACCGCCTTCAAAGAGGTTTATTAAATCATGGAATGTGATAATTAGCTAGATAACTGTCTCAGTAACTGCTATTTTGGATGACCATAATATCTCACATATTNTCACAGAAAATATCATGCACTCAAGGTAATTGTACGTGCAATCCATTGGTACAACAATTTTAGTTATTTTCTCACTTGTATGTTCATTATCTTGTGTTCATTTGCCTCTATAACAAATGACGATATTGATTTTATCCATACTTACAATAAGATTACAAAGAAATTGCGTGAGAGTTTTTTTTTTAAAAAAATGTGATAGAGTAATGTGTCTAGTTAATTGTTTTAACAAGACACTATAACTTTTTTTTAGAAAAGTGACAGAATGTCACTTTTTCATATAAAAGTGACAGAATTCACATTCTCATTAAGCAAAGACCTTGCATGCATGAATGTAACTGATTCAAAGTTTTCTTTTTTATATGTATTTCCATAAAATAGGAATTGAATTGGCATGTTCAAATTTTCAAAAATGCACACGTATGCATCTAGTTAATTGCTCCAATGATATAATGTGGCTTTTTTTTTTTTTTTAAAGAAAAGTGATAGAATTCTCACTCCCATTTTGTCACACACCTTGCATGCATCAATTATTTAACTGATTCAAAGCTATTTTTTTTTTTATATGTATTGACAAAATCCATTTCCTCTGAAGTTCAATAATG